GAGGAATCCTCGTCAATCTCACATTGATCTTTTATCCTGACTTGAAAATATTTAATCACATATAAAGAGCTCACATGCCCAACAAGAAACTAAATCTTATAATTGAACTCAACACAAGACAAATGAGCAATATACATGTCAGCAGTTAAATCATAAGAGTAGTATTCACATGAGCATATGACAATATAATAAAAAAATTAGTAAACTAGTACAATTTTCAAATAATTTAAAAAAATTCATATAAATACTACAATCAATAGAAAAATTATATAAAACATTAAATTAAAATATTGATAAAGACTGTAAAAATTAAATCAATATAGTAAAATCATAAATGAGTGTATACATCCGATAAAGTTATTTTATATCAATATTAAATCAATATTTTAATCATGTGCTCAATGAATATATCATGTTTTCTATATCAATAATAAGTAATAATGTTAATAATATATTCATACAATAATATGAATAATGTCTCAATAACATTCATTTTAATAGTCACATTAAACAAGTAAGAAATTTTGATTATCACGATCTTTTTTAATATTATATCATTGTTAGTAAATCATTAACTTAGTAAATATAGTCATCACTCTTTATCCGTCGTCACAATAATCATCTTCTTATAACTCTCAATCAATGTATCACATGAATCAGTGAGGATAATACAAAACCACACATTAAAAGAAAAGTCCATTGGCCTATGATTCTATACAAGTCAAAAGTCTTCAATCAACAAGTCAATTAGTCTTTACTTATCTTTTACATACATTATTATCACAATACTATAATAGTCATTCAATCACATATTCAAATTTATTTTTAATGTATTGTAGCAAATAAAATATAATTGAGCATTATTTAGAAAGTATCAAAATGTCATAATGATAGACAACAAAAATCATATTGAACAAAAATTCATATTTTTTAGAATTTAACCAAATTATCATATATTGCATAAAATAATATTCTGAAACTTTAGTTGAACTAAATTACTATTTTTAGACACACTAAAAAAAATTTTAGTAGGAAAAAACTATTATATTTTCAAAATTACTCAGCGAAAAAATCATAAATAAATATTCATAATCTCAATTTCTATAACATATAAAAAGTTAAGCTGTGAAAATTTTACTAATACAAAATTACCTCATTTTTGTAACGAAAATACAAATTTAATCGAAAAAAATACTAAAATATATAAAATTATTTAAATAAGATAGGATTTAGGTTCCTTACATAAAATACTATAATATCAATGTTATGACGAAGATAGTTTATAATTTGGATTTATATTCACTCAGTTAACAAAATTATGTATGAATTAAAATGCAGGCTATTACACTCCTGGTTTTATAATTTCTGTACAATTAACATGCTTTTTCTTAACTATTCTAATATAAAAGCTTAATTATAAATATAATTTATAATTTTTAAACCTTTTCTTGCATGTTCTTAATATAAGATATGCTTCCATTGTCTTTTAGAATGATGTTTATATAATGTGTGACGCCCCTTATAACTCCCATCAAATCACATGAATCGATCGCACCGATTTCTTATAACTGACAATCAATCTCTACCTCCTTATGACTCCCATCTATTGACACCCGTTAGTGAACCATATGAATCTTAAGGATATCATATATATATAAATCAATACATTACATACATACATCATATCAGATTTGGACTAGTAATAAACATTCTTGCATAACTCAATCATATCAATCATTTCAGTATATATTATCATACAGTTTTATCATGTTAAATCATTGTATAGCACTTTTCAACTCATTTATATAATCTATCTATTTTCTTACTTATTTTATCTAAAAATTATTACACACATATTTAACTGGTGAAAATGCAATAAAATCATATTTTATTGCTCATAATGATCACATCTATAACATATCAAAAGTTATTCGGTGAAAACTTATAAAATCATGATATAATATATTTTTTGTAGATTTAGGAGAGATAAGTCTATAGAAATTAAAATCATCAAAAATAAAAGTAAGAAGATAGTTACTTACAATGAATTGAACAAAATTCATAATATAAATGGTGGGCAAATATGACTCAAAGACATTTCTTTCTCCTTTTTCTTCTTCTCCTCCTCCAATTTCTTCATAGCTAAGATATAAAGTAAATTATATTACTTAGTAGTTTGTAGTGCATTCAGCTCACATTAAATGAGAGGAGGAAAAGCCCTCCAACCACTAACCCCTTTGCTATTAATTAAATTTATAATATTTTAAGTTTAAATTAATAATTATTGTTAATCTATAATCATAATCCTATATATACTTCTCAGTTATTTTGCCAAAGAGATTAAAATCAATTATTGTGTTTTCAATAGTGGAGTGTAGACCACTTTGGGTGAGCAAACCTCATCTAAAGCTTTGGCCCTTTATTGTGTCATGAAATCGTGTGCCAAACCAAACCTACAACGTGCTATTCAACCTGCTCCAACATTGTGCTTAATAATTATTTGCTCAATACCAATGACAACACAAGATTAGTTGCATTAGTTATATAGACAATTATAATCATGATTTATCCACTACTTACATGAATTAGTGCATCTCTTCCTCACCCTTAGATGAAGGGGAAATTATTTTGTGCGGTCATCGGACCGTCCGGAGGCGAATAAGAATACATCACATCACTCGGTACATAGCGGTACATGACAACAGTACACAACAAAAAGATGACACGGTGACCGCACATAATAATTTCTCTAGATGAAGAAGGAAACATATATAATGTTATCACTCCTCCTCATGTTCTCATGCTATGACAAATCTCGTTCTCTGAGAGAGTGTCTGAGGCACCTATGAAGTAAACCTTTTCAGCTCAATTCCTTTAATGATTGTTCATGATTATCTAATTGATGCTGTAATTTTTAGGTGCTAAGGTCTCTATCACTTTAGATTGTTGTATGAGTTTTTAATTATATGTTCCTTTTTATATTATTTAGTTGATGGTGCTTTTATAATTGTTTGATGATTGGTGTTTTTCTTGCATGTCTAATGTTGTTCTTACTTCTTAATGTTGATTGAGAAAGGTTTTGTTGGTCTTTTAATGTTTTATTGATAACTCTTTCTTTTTTTATTTTATTAAGCGTGTTTATGTTTATTCCTTGAACTATTATTACTAGTTTATTTTTAGCTTAGAATATGATAGATAATCAAACTTCTTATATTTCAATCTTTCGGATCAACTTTAAATAATTTTTTGGGCATTGATTGACATTAATATTTTCGACGACCCTTAATACATCGATCATTTTTATTTGTTGGATAAAAATATCTTAGTTGTAAATATTTTTTATTTAGAAAATTTCTTTGGGTGACCTATTTTGTCATTTTTTGGCATATTAGGGGATTCGAGTGCTAGCGAGATCGGGAAGAATTTTACTTCTGTCGATTAATCGGCCTGCAACCCATAACAAGAACAATAATAATAAATTCATATTAGTGTCCATATCGATAACCGTAATAGTCTAGTGGCAAGAGCACTAAAATAATACAATAACAACAAAATATATATTGCAACAGTAAATCGTACAGTAATAGGACAATGCCTCAATAACATGCATTTTAGTAGTCATACTAAACAAGTAAGAAATCCTGATTTAATAGATATTTTTCTAGTATCATATCAGTATTAGTAAACAGTTGGCTCAATAAATATAGTTGTCACTCTTTGACCGTCAACACAGTAATCATCGCCTTATAACTCTCAATCAGTATCACATGAATTAGTATATGATAGCATCAAATCACAGTATTTAAAGGAATATCCATCAATCCACCATCATGTACATGTTAATTAATCTCCAACCAACTTTAGTGAATAATCAATCTTTACTTATTTTTTCTCACACATATTATTATCACAATAATTACTCAATCACATACTCACATTTACTTTCAATGTATTGCAGTAAATAAAATATAATTAGATTTAGTTCATAAAGTGCCAAAATATTCTAACAATAGGCAGCACAAATACAACTTAGCAAAAAATTACAGTTCCTAAAACATTATTAAATTATCAGAGATTGTATATAACAATATTTTAAAACTTTAATAAAACTAAAGCACTATTTTTAAATATCAAAATAAAATTTTAAATTAATAAAAATCGTTGCTTTTTCAAAATCACCTGACTAAAAATATCAACTAAATAGTTAAAACGTTCATAATCTCAATTTTATAACATATACTATTTACATGATAAAAATTTTGCTAGTACAAAATCATTCTCATTTTTTGATAACAAAAATACAAAATTGATCAGAAAATCTCAAAATAATTAGTTTATTAAAATCAGAAATAGAATTATTACAATTAGGAACATATCTCCCAACCAGACATAAAAATCGCTCTATTTTGTCATTTTGAATAAAATGTTTTTGGCACTTTAGCTTACCTTTTACCTTTTTATTGTTTAATAAGTTTGACTTTGCGCTCTCAATTAATTGTAACCGTAAATTTCAAAATCTTTTACTTATTAGGCTGTTTAAACGGTAATCTATTCAAATTCACATTATACGGGAAAAAACTTCCACGCACATCAAAATTCAAAAGCACTATGATGGAAAAATGGACGGTGATCCATCTTCCATAATGCCGTACAATTTAGCTGCTTGCACGGATTGGCTGGTTACCAAGTCAACAAAATGCGACCGCCCGCATAGATGTCCTTCCTGCGAGCTGCGGCCCACTGCCACCTCGATGAGTTCCCACTTCGCTTTGCTTTTCCAGCTCAACGGCTCTTTTCCCCCTCAATCCACCGAACCCTTTGGGATCACATTACTAAAAGCTTAATTGGTAGTCAATGCCGACTGTATTAACAACTAAAGCACTAACTAATTTCCTCTTTCTCTCTCTAAAAGGTGAATGAGACAATTAGGTTTCATAGTGGCCCCATGACACGGAGCCGTCCGTTTGCTTTGATTACATTCGACCGTTTTGTGCTTATCATCTTCCTCCGCGGCGCCTCCGCTTCTGCTTCGCTGTTGGAAAACGCTTGCTTTTGATTGCGTTGCGATAGCTGTGAAATCCTTTAATAAGAGGAAGACAAGGAGTTAGAAGAGGAAGTGTTTGGTGGCATTGGTGTTTCCTTTCTCTGTACTCTCCAACGCGCCTTTCTTTCTCCCTTTTTAGCCATCTCTGGAAAGGCTGCGCCTGAGTTGGTTTTTGCAGGGAGTGCTCGCACTCTAGTTTTGTTCCGAATCCGGTATGCTTTCCTTCTGCGATGTTGCTTCTTGCTCTGCTATTACTACTACTGTTTTATTTTAAAATTTAGCAATTTGGTTAGAAAAAGATGGTGTTAGAGGAAAGAATGTGACAGAAAAGTTATATGAATTTGGTAGTTTTTCACTGGCAATTGTGTTGCTCATGAAGTGCATGGAAAACATATTACAATGTTAATTTGTAGTGCTTGATACACTGCATGAGTGTTAGGTTACTCTGCTACAGGTTAGCTTTAGGATATCCATTCTTCTATTTTGATTCTGGGAAAGGGTCGTTTGGCTCACATAGATCTCTTTCTTCCTTTTTTTTTTTTTGGCCACAAAGTAGTCGCAACCTTAATTGCTACTATGTTTAAAATAAAAAAGGGTACTCTATGGCCCTTTTGTTGGGGACCTTTGCTCTCAGCTATGAGATGAGAGTTCAAGTGCATTAACTGTTAATTTGTAATAATTGTAATTACATTCACTCATCGACCTTGCAAAAAAAAGCTAGTAAATCCAGTAATCTTGATTTTGTAAGTCTTGAGAGAATTAAAACTTGAAAAATGTTTGGCATGTAACTATGTAAGTAGTTATACATTTATAAACCGTTTGGTTATTTGGTTTAGGATTTAGTGAATCCATTAATTCTGCTAAATCCTGTGAATGGTTAACCAAATAAGGGGTTGAAACATGATTTATCAAAAATATTAGAATTTAAAATCTGTGAAATTCTATTTGGCTGGATTTAAGCTAAATCTTGCTCAATTCTGCCAAAAATAGAATAGCTAATAGCCCCAAAGTTTGTGAAACTATGAATGGACATGGTCTGAATCTTAAGTTTATGAAATTGGGGCGTGAAACAAAGAAATAAGGATATGATCAGAGCAGCAAAACAGTACAAATATTGCATACAATTTGCAGGAACATAAAGACAACAAATGGCATTTATTCATCACATGCTATTATATTTCATTTACCAGTCAAATCAATAGATTTTTAACATTTTGAATAGCAGGACTAGAAAGTTTCCTGTTTGAAATTTGAAATCCGACAAGCAAGGTACTTATAGTATTTGAGTGTATCTATGTGTTCATGAGGATTAAATTTGAATATTAAAACTTCTAGAAGTATTTGTTCTTCATAGCTTTCAATCTTAGAAAAAATAGAGGTTTTTATACATATGTCCTGAAATATGATATTTTCCTACAAACCATCAATATCCTCTTAAGGTCTTTTAAAATTTTGACCTAGTTATTGTACCAAAGACTCCAAGCGTTTTTTTTTAATTAAACTGCCTCCTAGTCTTCCTTCCATGCTGCCTGAAGTGGTGCTTGCCAGTGCCCTTTACTATGCTAGAGTTTGTGAGAGGTCTGCCCCAGCCTTTCGTTAGAGGTTTGTGTGAATAGAGATAAATGGTTTAGATTTTTTTCTCATTTATAATTTATGTACATGAAAGCCAACATTATGCTCTGATTGGCATAATGTTCAGTTCTTATTAGCAGATTTTTTTTTTAGGAATAAGATTATTTGGGCCATGTGCAGTGAATTTAAGCAATTGTATGTAAAATATGTAGTATCAAAATATTTTTGTGGTATGCATATAAATCCATTTTGTTCTTAATTTCAAAAAAACTTGGCTTTCATGCCAATTATTGTATTCAAGAGGAAAATCCCAGCTATAAAAAGTTTTTTCTGCTGCACCTGTGTGATGTTGACATATCAGTGGAAGAATGAACTGAAAGATTTTGCAGATTCTATCTGAAAACTTTGCATTTTAAAATATTTTAACTGCATGTGAACTAGGAGATGCCTCCTGGACAAACACGTGGGACTAGTAGGTGAAGTCTAAATTTGCAGGTTCTCTCAAGACTGCTATGGTTGTGTTAAGATTTTATAGTTGTAAAACTCTGACTAAAGAAAATATGAACTGTTAGGCTGTGCACTTGTTACATTGGAGTTCTTGCATGATATGGATTACTGGATGATTACATGTGACCCGCACTATGTATATCATGGAGGCTTAATAAATAAATTTTATAAAACCACCATTAGGTGGTTGAGACGGCAAAGTCATGTACATCCAAGTGTTGAACAATAAAAATATCATTAACAGCTAAATTGATGATATCTAGAGTGGGCCTTAGGAACATTTTACCTACATTTGTACTTATTTTCTAGAGAGTTCTAGCTCTGAGGAGCCGTGTTTGTAATGCTTCTTCGATAATCTCCCTACATCAATTGAGCATAGCATAAATGAGAATATCAAAATGAATATGAAAATTTAAGAAGGATAAATTAAAGAAAGTTTATATTGGTGGGATGATTTGAGTGACATAAATGAAGATAAGATAATTGAAAATAAACTTAGGTAGTTTAAACATATATAACAAAGGATAGACAATGCACTTCTAGAAGATGGGTAAATAAAATTAATATTGGAGGATTAGAAAGGAAGAGGGATGGACTTAAGGTTATATGAATATAAATTGTTCAAAATGATTTTCAAAGAATATCTTTAGTGCCTAATTATCTCAAGCAACATTTTATATTGGAGTTCTAGTTAGTTCTATTAGTATCTTATATATAGTATTGTAAGCAGTAGAAAGAGGGATGGAATGAATATATTTTTGTGATTTTAGCATTGTTTTTACTGTTTGTGTGTTCTAGCTCTGAGGAGCTGTGTTTGTAATGCTTATTCGATAATCTCCCTACATCAATTGAGCATAAATGAGAATATCAAAATGAATATGAAAAATTAAGAAGGATAAATTAAAGAAAGTTTATATTGGTGGGATGATTTGAGTGACATCTATGAATATAAGATAATTGAAAATAAACTTAGGTAGTTTAAACATATATATTACAAAGGATAGACAATGCACTTCTATAAAATGGGTAAATAAAATTAATATTGGATGATAGGAAAAGGGATGGACTTAAGGTTATATGAATATAAATTGTTCAAAATGATTTGCGAAGAATATTTTTAGTGCCTAATTACCTCAAGCAACATTCTATATAAAAGAATATAAAATGAGGATTTATAAAGATGATCCTAAATTGTTGGGATAATGCTATTGATATTGATGATGATAATATGTATTTCAAAGGCATTTTTATCTTTTGCTTGTTTTTGAGAAATGTTTTATTCATGAAGGTAATGGTTCTCATTTCAATATTCTTTTATGATTGAGTTTTCTTTTTCTCATGTTTACTTACGCTGCATATATTGGCTCAAATTTACAGGAAATTATGGCTACAATCGGTGACATAGGCCTCGCTGCATCTATAAACATTCTGACTGCCTTTGCATTCCTACTTGCATTCACTATACTGCGTTTGCAGCCATTCAATGACAGGGTATACTTCCCTAAATGGTACCTTAAAGGAGTAAGAAGCAGCCCTACGAGATCTGGCACATTTCTACATAAGTTTGTCAATTTAGACTTCAGATCATACTTGAGGTTTCTTGACTGGATGCCTGCTGCTCTCAAAATGCCTGAACCTGAGTTGATTGACCATGCAGGATTAGATTCTGCTGTTTATTTGCGGATATACCTGTTAGGGTATGTGTTTTTCTTTCTTATAATTTTGATATCAGAATTTGAGAAAGGATTATTAATTTCTTAAGTTGTTTTTCCTGTGCTTTTCCCCATATGGTCTATCGCTTTGGTTATGATAATTGCATGCTTTACAAGGAATTGAAGTAGAGGTCTACGTGAGCTGAGCCGGCTCGAGCTCGACTTGTTTATGGGCTCGCGAGCCGAGCTTATCGAGCTCACGAGTCTCGCCTATCAAGCTCGACTTGAGCTCAAGCTCTAGTTCGAGCTCGCTTTCCAAGTGACGAGCCGAGCTCAATAAAGGCATAAACTCGACTGAACTCAACTTGTTTACAGTTTACACCCCTAAATTGGAGGGGCTGATTTGTTATTATTATTATTTCTCTAGAAGGCAATGCTGTGAAAGAGTTTTCGAGTTATGGTGATGCCCAATTTTGGATTTTCCGCTTGCAGGCTTAAAATATTTGTTCCTATCACTTTGTTGGCTTTTGCGGTCTTGGTACCTGTCAACTGGACAAATAATACTCTGGAGTTAGAGTCTGCCAAGTCTTCAAAGTTGGAGTTCAGTACAATAGACAAGCTTTCTATATCAAATATCCCCAGCGGATCAAATAAGTGAGCATGCTAGTTCTTTTATTGATCATGTTTTTTATTTACCATCTTTTGCAGTTGATTAGAAGACAAATTGTATGGAAAATTGACCAAACATTTTTTATTTTTTTCCTATGACGACATTCCCTAGAGTTTTTAAACTTTTAAGATAATTATTTATCCAAAGTGCATTATTTCTTCGTTGGTTTTTGTTCTATGACTCATAGAAAATATTCTGATAGCAGAAACTGAGATGGATGGAATAGAATTAAATCCTTGAAAACCAAGCATATTAGTTTTTTTATCTCTTTTCATAGAAAATGCTATCAAAATGGTTTGGTTTTAGATCTTCTTGACTAACAGTAATTTTAAATGTAGGGATATGTTAATTTCTTAATTGTTGAGGATATTTGCTAGTTTGGGAAGTCTATTGTCAAATTCTCAAAACAAAACTATTTGCTTCCTGACAACTGGCAAGTAATTTCATATGTTATGATTGCAGTTGATTCCGAAGGCAATCAATTTTTTTTTATTTGAAGCTGTAGCTATAGCATCAATAGTGCTCCTATCAATTTAAGAACACGAATCCAGCAGACAATCATTCACAATTGGTTAAACTAAGGACAAGAGATGCTTAAAGTAATAAGGCCAATTGAAAATTCACTAGTTAGTAGCTAATAAAACGCATTGCAGATTTGACAGTCTTTTGCATTTCCAATTACTCCTGCTTATGAAACTCACGTAAGGAGAAACCTGAGAAACATCGTTTAAAGCTAAAATCCTCTGCATGCAATATTCACAGTTCCATTATTCTTAGTCCTTTTTAACTAGTTCCTGGTAAAATTATTCTGTGCGGATACGGATGCCATCCGGAGGCAAATCAGAATGCGCTACATCACTTTTTTGTTGTGTACCGCGGCTGTGTGATGGGTGAAGTAGCATGTTCTGATTTGCCTCCGAACGATCCGGTATCTGCACAGAATAATTTCTCGGGTTCCTAACTTTATTCTTCTATATTAAATTTACCTTTTTCAGGTTTTGGGCCCACTTGGTGATGGCATATACCTTTACCTTTTGGACTTGCTATGTGCTATTAAAAGAATATGAAATAGTTGCATCAATGAGGTTGCATTTTCTAGCCTCAGTGAAACGCCGACCAGATCAGTTCACAGTAAGTTTAAAAAGATGGTTCCAAATTATTTGTCTAGTTTCTTTGTTATTTATCATTTGTTATCTGCTTATGAATCCTTTCTTATTTCATTCCATTTCTATAAGTTTTTGTTTTTTGGAATTCTCTTAAGGTCTTGGAGTTGGCTTTTATTTAGTCCTATCTTTCTTACCTAATAATCGTTTTCATACATGACATTAGTTATTCAATCCTCTCATGACTCTTACTCTGCCTAGATTTAGTTGTTTTGCGGTGTTTCTATGTACAGAAGCCATTTAGTAGAAAACTGCATATGATTATTACGAAATATATAGTAGTATATACATGAGCATGTCCATACATGCATAGGTAGGTAACTCATAGGTGCCATATAGGTTCACTCTCAAGGAGTTGGAGCAAAATTAGGCAATCGCTCTACAAGTTGCCTCTGGAGGATTAGATCAACAATGCACATATTTCCAACGAGTTGGAACAGAGGACTCAACTCAACAAGCCTTTGCCCAAAGAGGCACTCGCCTTAGGAGGACTTAGCTTTTTCAATAGTTATTTTCAGTTAAGGCTATACGTCTTTTATAGATATCCTTGTCCAAGCAACAAAAGGGAGAAATATCTATGAATTCCATAGTCATGGCTCCATCAATTATATTTGTCCCTAATTCATAGTCACGCTCTCCTAGAAGACTAATCGCTCACCTTGAAGACTCATTGCTTCTCTAGGGGACTTGCCTAAGGCGCTCGCTCACGAGGACTCACCCAAAACATTTTCCCCCTAAGATTGGTCTTAAATGTGGGATCTGAGTTTTCCATTATGAAAGATTTCTGCAAAGAATTCAATAATTCCTTTACCATGGCAATGCCGAAAGAATGCTCAGTGGTTAAGTTTGTTATGTTCTTTGTCTATCATTTATTTTTTTACTGTTAAAATCCTAGAGAAGATAAGGATTTAAGCTTGTTCTCTACTTTCTCTATGATGATTTTCCCTATCCCTGCATTGCAATCTATTTCACGTGGATTTCTGTGGAGTTTTTAAGATGTTTTTCTTTTGCATTAACACGTCAGCTGAAGATATTAACGGTAGAATTCTAATAGCAATGCAAACACTATACATCACATATATCTAAATTTTAATGAATATTTCTGATAATTAAATTATTATAATTAAATACAATACTATATGTTACATGATTAAAATTTGTATTTACGTGATTATAACAATATTTCATAGAAATGTATGCTTCGGACCTATCATTAACTAATTATATGATTCTTATATTAAAGAAAATATATAGTTAAGAAATATTAACATAATTTGCTAAAAAAAATTTGAATCTTATAATTTAAAATTGCAATTAAATTATATGAAAATAAGTGGTGCACTCATAATAATTATTATATAAGAACAATCATAAATCATATCTAAAGAGACTAAAGACTTTTTTTTTTAAATCTATTGGCATACATGCGGCAACTCAATGCCATCTGGCGTAAAAACACAGCAAACAGGTGATGCGAAATATTTGTTTTTACCACTTTTCTGCGCTACCAAACAAACAAAATGAGTTCCTTTTTGCTGATAAATATTTTTTCAGTAAATCATTGAAGAATGCTCGGTGATATTATCGTTTGTTCTTTAGACCTCTTACTAAGTTTCTGATTGTTCCCTAGCCATTTCTGATATTAGTTTTTTAACCAGCCATTTCTGATATTAGTTTTCTAATTTCTTGCAGGTCCTTGTAAGGAATGTCCCACCTGACCCAGATGAGTCAATTGGTGAGCTTGTAGAGCACTTTTTCCTGGTCAATCATCCTGATCATTATCTTACTCATCAGGTAGTGTGCTTCTATATTCTCCACATTCACGAATTTATCTAAAATAACAACTCTTTAGATTAATCACTTTATTTTTATAAGTTGTTTTGTGTTGCCTTTTTTTTATACATATTATGAACATTGTTTTAGTTTCAGAAGAATATATATGGTAAATAAAGTGATACAATGAGACAAGGAGCGTATTCCCAACTATTATTGTAATTTAAACTTCATGCTCTTGGGAAATTACAGTATTCGATTTGTTGTTTCAATAGAATCATTAATGTAAGTGTTTTGCTTCTTTATTGTTCTATATTATTCATTAACCCTGGCTAAATGAGTCGGCCTTTCTACCCATTCTTCTTGCCATAAAGCTCTGTTAAAAACTAATTTTATAACATAATAAAATGAAGTGTGGAGCAAAGTTAGTTTTTTTTTGTGCAAAACAATGCAAAGTATTAATTATAAGTTATTCGAGCTATTATCTTGTCTATGTTTTGCATTTACCATGTATGGTCTTATGATTATTTTAGTATGTTCAAAAAACTTTGGAATGAGCATTAATTATGAGTTATTGGTAGACATCTTTTTTTGTGCTATAATGAGGCGATATTTCAACTGTTTGACCTTGTTGTCCAGTGCTTTGCATTAGTTCTAGCATAAACTATAGTTTCTTTTCTGTAAACATGTAGCAGTCAACTTTAAAAAATATCTAAACATCTAAATGTGTTTGGAAATTTGCATCTCACTCTGAATGCTTATAGCAATATTGAATGTGATCCCTAAATGTGTACTGTTTTATCATAATCCTTGATTTATGTTGATAAACATTCTTTTTGTTCTCAGATAAGCTCTTGTTATGCTTGCCTAATGGAGTCTCCTAACGTTTAATACTTTGCATAACTAGAATATCAGATGCATTGTTTTTATTTCTGTCGTAGATTGTCTATGATGCCAACAAACTTGCTAATATGGTTCAAAAGAAGAAAAACATGCGGAACTGGTTGGACTATTATCAGCTGAGGTTTGAAAGAAATTCATCTACAAGACCAACTTGTAAGGTTGGTTTTGCTGAAGTTTTTGTTCTTCCCTCTATTATTTTCATATATGAGAATTGAATTTAAGGTCATCGCTTAAGATTACTTTGCGACATTAATATTCTCTGATATGCCTTCATCAGACTGGTTTTCTTGGGCTATGTGGTAACAAGGTGGATGCGATTGAATACTACTCATCAGAGATTGAAAAGCTATCTAAAGATGTAAGTTGCGCAATCTATGCCTAAAGGCTTATGTCAATTGTCATAATTTTCATAACTTCCTTGCCACTTAGTTCTTTTTGCATCATCATTGTAGAAATCCAATAAATTTCCATCCATCTAAAAAGTTTAGTAAGTTTGACGTGCCACCTACCTAATGCACTTTTTGATGTCACTGTAATGTTTTTTGTTTTCATATTATCCCTGTTTTCGTTATTTAGCATTACCTAAAATGGCTACACAATAGTTTTTTCAATCGTTTCATGCAAACCGTTATTAATCTTAGCCATGGATACTTTAACTCCCTGTAGCATTATATTTTGCTATCAAATCTGCATTCATTTTAACATCCCTTTGAATTTGATGTAGGAGATTTAGGCTTCGTTTGGGACGGGCTTTCTTACTGCTTTTTAAAGTAGCTTTCATTTGCAAAAATTTTAATTTTTATTTTAAAAAGCTGTTTTAAGCAGCAGTAAGAAAGCAGTGCCAAACAAAGCCTTAGTCATGTTTTCTTTAGATTTCCTAATAATTCAAATTCTGCATGTATTTAACTGGTATTTCTTCCTTTCTTAAGGAGGTTGAAGAGCTTAATAGAATTAAGAAGGATTCAAAGTCTGTCATGCCGGCAGCATTTGTTTCATTTCGAACACGTTGGGGAGCAGCTGTTTGTGCTCAGACACAACAGACCAGAAATCCAACTCTATGGTTGACAGATTGGTCCCCTGAACCTCGTGATGTTTACTGGCAAAATCTAGCCATCCCTTTGGTCCACCTAAGTGTTAGGCGATTGATAATAGCAGTTGCATTCTTCTTTCTTACTTTCTTCTTCATGATCCCAATAGCGTTTGTTCAGTCTCTAGCAAATATTGAGGGTATTGAGAAAGCCGTTCCATCTTTGAAGCCCTTTATTGAATTGTGAGTATAGTCCGCGTATTTTCCATGTTAAAATACCTAGTATTTATTTTCCTTTCCATTTATTGCTTGCTCATTTTTTTTTTTTTTTTGCTTCTACATTATTGTTATTATCAGTATGGTTTGTTGGTTGTGCGGAACTTTATTATGTTTAATGCCTCTTTCAAAATTCTACAACGTTTTTTTTTTTTTTGCCTCATTTCTTACATTGACAGTAGATAAAACTCTGTGATATCTGTTGTTTTAATAGCCAAGCTGATCATGACCATTCTAGAGTTCATTTGTTTCTTATTCAAACCCTTAAAGCCAAGCGATTTAAAGTCTACCCATAGAGTTTAGAAAATTCTAGTCAATTGTATGTTGCGTATTATCTGAACTAATAGCACACTACTCAACAAGTTGTTTAAAACTATGATTTCGCCTTCTTTTCACGTTGGCTTTTAAATTATTTCAAGATTATTTGTTTTTTTTTTAAATTTTGGAGAGGATTCCATTATAAAACAAAGCTTTCTTCTCATCATTCTCTCCCATTCTAGCTTAATCATTTAACTTTTCTATGTATTGAACGGTTGGTTTGAGCACGTGCAACGAGAGCAATGGCTAAATGGTGTTACGTCACACGAAACAATCTTCAAGTTTCCTTGAACAATTGAAATCACCAAAATGTAGTCTGTTCATAAAATATATTACAACAACATTTTCAAAAGTATTGAAGTTATTAAAAAAGAGCCCTCAACGCCTATGAGAGACATGAACTATGGAGGGATAATTAACCATAGAGGCTTGCACCTTTGAGAAACATGAACTCGAAACATAACATTCTAATGAAATGGAGCAAAATCTCTAGGTAGTGTCTTATCTTAAATCTAAACTACTAGAAAATTTGATCATGAAAATCCATTAAAACTTTCACAATGCAAAGGCCAAGGTGCGTATTTTTTAAGCCAAAATTCTAGTGCGTGTGTGTAGTTTTCATCAATTGATTGTCATGTTTTTGACTGCTTTGATTTCTATTTATTTATTTTTTTCTCGAAGCTTTCTATTCAGTTCTGGTTATTTGTTATGTCCTGATTTTTGTGAGGATGCTTTGGTTATGCAGAAAATTTATTAAGTCACTAATTGAAGGTCTTCTTTCTGGAATTGCTCTGAAGATTTTTCTTATCTTGCTACCTACTATATTGATGCTTATGTCCAAGTTTGAAGGACATATTTCATTATCATCTTTGGAGAGAAGAGCAGCGTCAAAATATTATATGTTTTTGCTTGTAAATGTATTCCTTGGGAGCATAATTGCTGGGACTGCATTCCAGCAACTAAATACTTTCATCCATCAGTCAGTTAATGAGTATGTTTTCTTTCCCACTTTGTTAATATTAAGGACTTGAGTTTTAGTATAATATTACTGTTATATAAAATTTTGTAAGGACTAATTTTAAATTTTCAGTATTCTTTTCATATTCATTTGGTTTGCCTAAAAGTACACGTTGGACTACTTTTGGGAAACTACATGTATCGATGATAACAAACATTTGTGAAATTTTCTTATCTTTCTAAGACCTCAAAGCTTCAAAGACTTATAATCATTGTTTTTTCTAACTTGTGCATCATAATAATTAGATTAGAGTGAGTCACCTTAGATGATTTGGTCACATTAAATGGCGGCCTTCTGATGACCCGGTTAGGAAAGTAGTGGTATTAGATTTGACTTATGTTAAGAAAGATAGAGGTAGACCTAGAAAATATTAGAAATGATCTTTCTTTATTATATTTAAATGAGAATTTGACTTTTAACAAGACACAATGGAGAAAAAGGATTCATGTAGCCAACCCCACGTAGTGGGACGAAGGCTTGATGTTGTTGTTGTTGTCGTGCACCATAACGATAATTCAGACATGCTTAAAATATGCTGTGTAACTTAATTTGAACTAGCTTACTAATGATCTCCCATCTATTATAAATGATTAATAATTGAGACATCAACTAGATGGATTTAATTTAGAGAAATTTGTCTTATTCTTTCAGTGAGGTACAAAGACCAATGATGAGGTTGCCTCTATTTTGGCCCAAAGATCTTTTGTTCAAATTTGTGAACTCTCTTTATAAATATTTTTTTTTATTTGAGGATTATGATTAAAATATTGCTCATTTTGTAACCGCTAACTCAAAGCTTCATAAGTGTCAACTATAATGGCCTGTTTCATAAAAAAATGCAGGTTTCCTAAGACAATTGGCTTAGCAATTCCCCAGAAAGCTACATTTTTCATTACATATGTCATGGTTGATGGTTGGACAGGAGTTGCTGGGGAGATTTTACGATTGAAACCTTTGATAATCTATCACCTGAAGAACTTTTTCTTTGTGAAGACTGAAAAGGATAGAGAAGAGGCTATGGACCCTGGAAGTTTTGAATTTAGTTCATCTGAACCTCAGATACAGTTATATTTCTTACTTGGTCTTGTATATGCTGTGGTCACACCATTCTTACTTCCTTATATAATAGTATTTTTTTGTCTGGCATATCTTGTTTTTCGCCATCAGGTAAGCAATTTCTTTTATATAAAGTGTTTTTTTTTCTTTTTGTATAGTTATTTATGTTATTAATTATTTTTCCGTTGATTTGTCCCTTGGGACCTTTTGATTTTGCATAACCGTTTGCATGGCAACTGATAACTTTGTGCTGTTTTTTGTATCATCTCAAAGTTTAAACGTTTTAATGTTCACGTTGATAATAAGATGACATTTCCTTTGATGCTTATTATGATAGGTTACTTCATCACTTAGATATGATAGGTTACTTCAAATTATGACATGTTACTATTGATGCAATTATGAATCGAATTGGCTATTAGTTTTGTTTCATTCAGATCTAGTGATTGATTCCAATTTCTAGTTTTAGGAATATATTTTCTCGAGCTGGTTCCCAATGCTCAGGTTTAACTCACCTTTTTGAATTCCATCTAAGTTTTTTTGTTATAGAAAAAAAAAAAAAAACAAATTCTCAGGTGAAGCTTGAAGCTTTAAACTTGATGAAGGTATAAGAAAAGCGTGTACCCATTAAAAAAAAAAATTAATGCTAATTGGATGCTTGAGAACCAGTTAAATAATCACTCTCCATCATTCCTTCAAGCAAATAATTGATTGTTTAACTAATGTCAGAATGCATCAGATTTCTATTATTTCTCAAAGTCTTCAAAATACAAAACCTCTATGTTGTGAACCCATTAAAAAAAAAAATTAATGCTAATTGGATGCTTGAGAACCAGTTAAATAATCACTCTCCATCATTCCTTCAAGCAAATAATTGATTGTTTAACTAATGTCAGAATGCATCAGATTTCTATTATTTCTCAAAGTCTTCAAAATACAAAACCTCTATGTTGGGGCAAATTATTCTGTGCGGATGCCGAACTTCATTCATAGACCAACTAGAATGCATCACGTCACCCCTGCTCGGTATCGTGGCTCGGTACCGTTCTCGGTACTGGGCTCGGTAATACCGACGCGGTGCATTCTGGTTGGTCTCCGAACGGTTAACTGCGTTCGGCGTCCGCACATAATAATTTCTCTTGAAAAGGCGCAAACATGTTCTTGTTCTTGAATGGACTTACGCCCGGCTAAAATAGGCAAAATAAACCACATAGTTGACTAGTATATCATCTCAAACCTACACTTTCGATTATTATTGGGCATGATCAATATCTTTAATGTAGATCGATTAATTTCTTTTTTTTTAGATCTTTCCATTATCTAAAATCTGGGAGGTGTAGAAGAATCTTGGTTCTTATTATCTTTTCACCAAATTTTGTGTTATCCTAATGTGCTACAACTGTGTTTAAATTAGTTGTTTATCTAAAACTTTTCCATGTTTCACATTTTACTTTTTGTTGATACTGGTTGAAAATATTTATAGATCATAAATGTCTACAATCAAGAATACGAGAGCGCTGCAGCATTCTGGCCAAATGTGCATGGACGCATAATTACTGCAATGATAATATCTCAAGTCGTTCTTTTTGGATTGTTAAGCACAAAACTAGCAGCAAATTCTACACCTTTCCTCATTGCTCTTCCTGTACTGACAATATGGTTTCATAGATTCTGTAAGAACCGCTATGAGTCTGCTTTCAGAAGATATCCACTTCAGGTAATGCGTGTAAAAAATTAAATTTGCTGGCTTATTGCTTTCTCTTCTCTTTTTTTTTTTTTCTATGTTATTTCATTTTTTTTCAGAATTTAACTAATTACTGCAGTTGAGATTTGCTTAATAGAATTCTTCCAATAAATACCTGATGTTTGTTTAGAACATAATGAGAAATCAACAGTAGTTTTTGTAAAATTATATCAATATATCATCTCTTCCAACGTACTTTTTGTTTTTAATTGCGTGCTAAAAACATTGCCTCAGAAAGTGGTTGTGGAGTTATTTTCTCAACAATTCATAGAAATTTCCATGTCAGAATTTCAAGCAAAGATTGTGAATAACCTCTATTTTTCCCAACATGACCTCAATTTTACATGCACATTACTTTTAGTTGGCAATTCATCCGGGTGTGTTACTCTGGAGAAATTATTTTGTGCGGAGTCCAGACGGGAAATTCCTGTTTGGATTGTGAGTGTACACTGTGTATAATTTTGTACACATTTTGTTTTTTGTTTTGTACAAAACACTGTGTACACTCACAGTCCGAACAGGAACTTCCCATTCTGACTCCGCCCAGAATAATTTCTTATTACTCAGAGGCTATTGCAAGCCGACAAGCACACGTGTACAATTGCCGAATGGATAAGCAAACGAGTGAGCCAAGTAGCAGGCACATGCAAGCTAGATTAAGAATTTCTAGTTTGATGGAGGTTGAATTTAAAACCATAGGATTCTAAATTGAGCGCATAACGATCAAATGAGTCATTGCTTTTTTATATATAATCAGTCTCCAAATGCATTTATACAACATTACCACCATGATTTTCTTTGTTGTCCTTGCATGCATATTTATACTTAGAAGACTGAACAGTTCCTTTCGGTTGCATTGAGAACTAATTCACATCTTTCATGGAAAATAACTTTGACACTATAGCTCCTTTCTTCTTATTAAAATAAAATAAATGAATTGATAATAACCGTAAAGTTATTGCCATCTCCACCCCGATATCCGGTGTTCTTTCCAAACATCTATCCTCACATCCCATGTATTTTCTGAACATTTTTTTAGTTCTATTATCAAAGATAGCAGTTTATTCTGGTTATAATAAACTTCAACCCCCCTATTTACTAAATGAAATCTTTTCCATAATGATCTTTTCTATTATACTATCAAATGTGACAGTAATTATTAAACAAATCAAATTGAATAATTTTTATTTTTATTATTTGGGTATATGCATTATAGGCAATAAATTAATATTTTTGAATAAAATTAGTGTTTGTTTGTTAATAAATTTAATTTTCATATATGATTGCATTACCTTTTAGTCATCAAGTTTATCTTTATCCAACTAAGGTTTCGTTTGGGACAGCTTTGTTACTGCTTCTTAAAGCAGTTTTTTAGTGAGAAATTTTTTTTTTTGTAAAACTCCGTCATAAACTATTTTTAGCGCAAATTTAATATTAAAAAATTCAGTTATATTATTTGTCTGTTAGAAAGCATTGTAAAACTCTGTCCTGATCTATTGTTTAAGGTTTTCCATTCAGAAATTGCAAATATGAAAATATCATGCTACAAGTTTTCTAGAACATTGAATGCTGGCATTCTGGGAGTTGTTTGTGATTAAAAAAAAATCTAAAAGTGCAATTTGATAAATTTGAAACATTTTTCTTCTTCTTCATTATTATGATGGTTGCAACCTGTTCTTTTACAGAATCACCCCAGGTTTTGAGATAAAATAGTAGCTGCATCATGGCTTCAGAAATATTAGTGCATCAGGCCTATTTAAGTTATTATAAGTAGCTCTCAATTTTCTCAAGCAAAGCCCCTGTGAGAGACTGGGCTTGTGTTTGACAGAGAACATATTCTCACCTTAGAACTTTATATTGTGATTTGTAAGGCTTCATTTGGGACGGTTTTCTTAATGCTTCTTAAAACAGCTTTTTAGTACAACAAATAAAATTTTATACTAAAAACTATTTTAAGAAGCAATAAGAAAGTTGTCCCAAACAAAGCTAGGGACGGCTTTCTTTCTGCTTCTTAAAACAGCTTTTTAGTTCAATAATTAATTTTTTTGTACTAGAAAATTGCTTTAATTTAATAAGCACTAAGAAAACCGTCCCAAACGAAGCCTAAGTTCCAAGCCATTGCTGAAGTTAGGGGAGCCATATTTAGAAATTAGAACTGAACTCAATTTTACTTGACCTGAACCATTATATTGATTTTTGAAAACAGGAAGCAATGATGAAGGATACTGTGGAACGAACCCGAGAGCCAAACCTGGAGCTGAAAGAATACCTGTTGAATTCTTATATCAACCCAGTGTTCAAGGAGGTCGATGACCTTGTTGACAACTCTGTTCTTGATGAGGAAGAGTTTGAAACTGTGCTTGTACCAACAAAGCGGTCTTCACGCATAAATACACCGGTGCCCAGCAAACACGCTAGCGACTTCTCATCAACTTCTTTACCTGAGGTCACCCTGCATGATCGACAATTATGATGAGCTTGCATAGCTGCGTATTGTTTCAATGTATTCAAAATATTCATTTTCTCCCCTCCCAGATGTGTAGTAGTATTTCACCTACCAAGGACTTGGGTGATTGAGCTTTTAGTTTGCTATGTAAAATTAAGTTATCTAATTCTTGTAAGAATTCTCATTTTAAATTATGTAAAAGAAATCGAAACAAAAATATGAATTTACATAAAATCTTAAATCCACGAGTAATAGCACACCTGGCACAACTTATTTTCTCTTTATTTCTTTATTACCAATGTAGTGATGCCACGTGTACTTACTTTACTTAGACTACCTATATATAGCCATTACCTGTAACCATTTACAATTAATCAAATATACTATTCATCTTCTTCCACTTCTCCGTTCGTCTCTCGCCTCCTCTGTTTCTTTATGGTATCAGAAGCAGGCCATTCCTGAGCCTCATTCATGGCCTCTTCCGCTTCGGCAACGTCGTCATCTCGCACAACGACGATGATCGGTGATACCTCCGACAAGCCGCTTCTCTATCCCGCCCTCAAGTTCATCATCTCCAATCTAAAATGCCTGGTTCCACACCCGCTGTCCATGGACAATTACCCAATTTGGAGAAATCAGATCTTAAAACTGCTAAAGGCAAACGGTTTTGAGTCCTTTCTTGAAGCGCCTCCAGCATCCACTATCAATCAAGATTCCGAAAATCTTGATTCAGACAGCAACAAATGGATTCTTACTGACAGAAACCTTGCCGCTGCCATTTCATCTACCATTTCCGCCAACGTCATACCTTACGTTATGCATCTTGACTCTACTTATGAAATCTGGTCGGCTCTCCAAACTAGATTTCAATCCGCTAACAGATCCAAAGTGATGCAGCTCAAGAACGAACTTCAAAACATATCTATGCGTAACCTCTCAATGCAAGATTACTTAATGGAGATCAAGAAGACTGTAGATCTCATCATTTCAGCTGGCTGCAATCTTGATAATGAAGATATCATTCTTCATATTCTCAACGGGCTACCTCCTCCATACCAATCTTTCAAGACTGCAGTAAGAACACTACAAACACCTCTCTCTCTCGACAATCTCTATGCGATGTTGATTAGTGAGGAAATTCACCTGCGGCAAGATTCTCAAAGATTCTCATCTCACACCGATAATCAAGCTGCTCTTTATACCAATCGCGGTCGTAGCAGACGCGGACGCGGTTCCACCTATCAAACTTCTCAAAACAACTCCAAAACAGGATCAAAATCTTCCATAATTTGTCAAATCTGTACCAAACGAGGCCACTCCGCCGATGTTTGCTGGCATAGACATAACTCCAAATACGTTCCTCCTACCGCAAACAGTCAAGCACTCATGGCTGCATCGGACATTACCTCCACGGATTGGTATCTGGACTCTGGGGCTTCATCGCACATGACGAACAATCAAGACAACATGACACAGTCCTCCAACTACAATGGATCCGATCAAGTCATCGTCGGGGATGGAAGAGCTATTCCTATCGCTCACTCAGGCGCTGGAATCCTTCCTACCCCCGAGCGTAAGCTCCAACTATCTAATCTTCTTCATTTACCCGATATTTCTCACAATTTAATTTCTATCTCCAACTTAGTTAAAGACAATAACATTTCTATATCCTTTGATCCTAACGGTTATCATGTCAAGGATTTGCAGACACACAGAGTTCTTCTTCGAGGACCCTGTAGAGCCGGTCTCTACCCCATCAAGATCAAGAAATTCGAACAATCGAAGACGGCACTCAACACTAGCTCGCGGCATCTCCCCAACTGGCATCAACGTCTCGGTCACCCGCACCAAAGGATTCTTGCTACCATTTCCAAACAAAATCCTTCTCTCTGTATTGTTGATAAAAATAACATTTGTAATTCCTGCAATGCTTGTAAAAGCCATAAACTCGAGTTTCCTAGATCTATTAATCGCAAAAATTCTCCTCTGGCTTTACTGCACTCGGACGTTTGGGGCCCTTCACCTGTTCAATCTCAACAGGGTTTTCTTTACTATTTACTTATACTTGATGATTATTCTCGCTATGCTTGGGTTTTCCCCTTCTCTCACAAAACTGAAGTTTCACAAATTTTTATAAATTTCATTACATTCATTGAAAAGTATACTAAACATCAAGTGCAGGCTGTTCGGACAGACGGCGGAACTGAATTCGTAAATCACAAGTTCCAATCCTTCCTTACATCTAAAGGCATCCAACATCAACGTTCTTGTCCTTATACGCCGGAGCAAAATGGAGCCGCTGAAAGGAAACATCGCCATATCATCGATACAACCAGAACTCTGCTTCACACTGCATCCATGCCGCTTACCTACTGGCCGGATGCCGTCTTGACAGCGGTATATCTAATCAACAGAATGCCTACTCCTACCACTAACTACACTCCGCCTATTAAACTCATGTTCAATGTCATTCCGGATTACGCCTCCCTTCACACCTACGGATGTGAATGTTTCCCCTTGCTCCCAACCAACTCCCGCCACAAACTTTAACCAAACTCCATATCTTGCGTGTTTCTCGGTTACACAGATACATACAAAGGTTTTAAATGCTTGAACCTTAAAACCAATCGAATCATTATCTCTCGCCATGTTAAATTCATTGATTCGAGTTTTCCCTTCACCACTTTTAACACCAAAACCACTCCTCAACCACATCAGTATACTCCTCCTTCATTCCTCATTCCAGCCACTACAATACAACAACACAACTCTATTTCTTCTACTCTTCCCTCTCCCATTATTACTAATCCTCCCGTTGAACCTGTCCACAATCTTCCCGAAACCAATTCTCATTTGCCTAACAATCTTACTTCTCCTATTCTCAACACCAACCATCATCCTATGACTACCCGCACTAAAACAGGTACACTTAAGCCCATTAACAGGCTCAACCTGTTAAATGACGTTGTCCAAATTCACGATCCTACTAGCTACGCCGAGGCCAACAAACTTCCTGAATGGCGGACTGCAATGGCAACCGAATTTTTGGCTCTTCAAAAACAGAACACATGGCTGCTCGTTCCTCCTCCGCTCAACGCCCCGGTCATCGGATGTAAATGGACATTCCGCACGAAATTACACTCGGATGGTTCCATTGCCAGACACAAAGCGAGGCTTGTTGCTCAGGGAAACCAGCAAGAATATGGGATAGACTACAGTGAAACTTTCAGTCCCGTAGCCAAGCTCCCCACCATTAGAGTCATGTTTACCATTGCACTTTACCACAATTGGAAAATACATCAGCTTGACGTCGATAATGCCTTCCTCCACGGCAACCTTCATGAAACCGTCTACATGAAGCAGCCGAAGGGATTTGAAGATTCTACCCAGCCCAATCATGTCTGCCTTCTTAGGAAAGCGATATACGGTCTTAAACAAGCATCTAGACAGTGGTACAACACATTTTGCAATCATTTAATAACTTTCGGTTTCTCTCACAGTTCTGCAGATTCGTCTCTTCTCGTCTTCCGTCAAAACAACATATCGATGTTTTTGTTACTCTATGTCGATGACATCCTACTGACCGGCAACGACGAATCAGCCATATCAGATTTTCTGCAACAGCTCAGCCAAACTTTCGCGCTTAAACATTTAGGCACGGCAAATCACTTCTTAGGCATTCGCATTCAACACGATAAAGCTAAGTATTTCCTTTCCCAGGAATCATATGCACTCTCCATCTTACAACAAGCTAATCTCGCTCACTGTAATGCAGTCGCCAATCCATCCTGCACCAAATTACCAACAGATATTTCCCCTGACTCCTCATTCAAGACCGATCACACATTTTATCGTCAGATAGCAGGAGCCCTGCAATACCTCATCATCACAAGGCCCGACATAGCATATGCCGTCAATACTATATCTCAGCATATGCATGATCCCCAACCAATGCATTTCTATCTCCTCAAACGTCTGCTCCGGTACATCAAAGGATCGATCACTTTCGGGATTCCAATATCCAAAACTGATCTTCAACTCACTACCTTCTCTGACGCAGACTGGGCGAGCGACCCAATCACTCGTAAATCTACCTCAGGATACTGTACGTTTCTCGGCTCTACTCTGATTTCATGGACGGTAAAGAAACAGACCACAGTTTCAAGATCTTCTACTGAATCCGAATATCGGGCCCTCGCCGCAGCTACGGCAGACGCCATATGGCTCAAACGTCTCCTTGCTGATTTCTTCATCCAGCACGCAGCTCTGGTGGATCTCTATTGCGACAACACTTCAGCGATCGCGCTCGCGTCAAATCCTGTGTTTCACGCTCGTACCAAACATATAGAGATCGACCATCGTTTCGTCCGTGAGCATATCAGCGCCGGCAACCTCCGTCTTCTTCCAATAAAAACTGAAGATCAAACAGCTGACATTCTTACCAAGCCGCTGTCCACTCCTAGATTCAAATTTTTGAGAACCAAACTCACTGTCGCACCCGATCCGTTCGTTTGAGAGGGGCTAATAGCACACCTGGCACAACTTATTTTCTCTTTATTTCTTTATTACCAATGTAGTGATGCCACGTGTACTTACTTTACTTAGACTACCTATATATTGCTATTACCTGTAACCATTTATAATTAATCAAACATACTATTCATCTTCTTCCACTTCTCCGTTCGTCTCTCGCCTCCTCTGTTTCTTTACCCTCCTTTGAAAGCATCAAGGCTGTGTTGTGAATCATGTGACGTCAAAAGTAGAAATTATTGTGTGAAGTCCGGACGGAAAAAACTGTTCGGATATGTAAATGTACACATTGTATATATATTTTTATATAATGTGTATCAAATTTTAGTACACACTATATATACACAATATGTATACTCATATATCTGAACGATTTTTCCTCTCAGGATTCTTCACAAAATAATTTCTCTAGCAAAAGCCTGTATTCACTCCTTTCTATTTTGATCATTCTGTGTGCTTTTTTTTCTTGTTGGCTGACTCAAGGGTCTCTTCTGAGTCCAGCTCGTTTTTTCTGGCTTGCTCTTTAGCTTGTTAGTTTTGCTTTGAATTTTTGTTGCAATGTTTTTTCTTTACATTTCTTTAGTAAGCATTGCAGGTTTTCTTTGTTTTGCGGCTTATTAAC